CTAGATGCAGAGTTACGAGCATATAGTACTCTTATATTATTCACCAATATTAGTTTTATTGCATGCCCAAGGAACAGAAAAGAAAGTAAAAAGAAACAAGGCACCAACTCATCTAGACTGCATTTGATGTTCACATGGACCAACCAGAAAGGCGGAACTTCACATCTCATATCACCCTATTGGCTCTCTTAAAAAGAAAACGTGGTACGCTATTTAGAATCTAAGAACACTCGTGGGTGATATTTGAGGCCAACCAAAGAGGGAAAAATAAATAAATATATAAATAAAAAAGGTGATAGTAACACTTACCATCATTTAAATTTAGGGCAATAGAACCCGCCACAAATATGATAAGAAGAACTGCAGCGTTATTATGCACTACTAATGAGACATGCTGAATTTTAAGGACTGGGAACAAAATGAATTTGTGATGTTATATGTAATGCCACGCAAATTAGAAAGAAGGTGTTGGTGTCCATTCTAGATTTATATATATATATATATATATATATATATATATATATATATATAAGCAAGTCCGTTCTAGAAATTTGGGTATACCTAGCCCCATTTACATTACATTTTTCTGAAGGCATGGCCAGCATATCATCAAACAACTCAGACAAGATAAATCTAATCCTTTTTCCTCTTCCAATTTTTTTAGTCTGCAGATTTACACAATTAAAATTGGCCGACCCCATCCATGGGATAGGCAAGGATGACGAGGATATACATTAATAAAATGTGCCATCTCTAGCAACCGATGTTCTCTATACATGCTTGGTTCTCATGGATCTTACTAAGAAACTAGTACAACATACTAAATATATGTCATTTAAGTTCACTTGCCAGAAGTCATACGGTAGCAATGAATACATTCAAAAGATGCATGGGCCATCTCTCTGGTAACAAGTATACCAAATAGTGTCAATAACGAATGTGTGTGCATCTGAAATAACAAGCAACACACAAACAAGTGGCTGGAAGTGTGATTGATGAAAACAATTCAGAGACAAACAAACCAATGATAGAAATAGCTAAGACCATTTAACACAATTGCTGATAACAGGTATGGGCTTAATTGATAATTCCATAGATATAATGATCCTAGCTGGAGCTCATGGAGAAACCATGACAAGCAAAATACAGAGGTAGTAGTAACATAGGAATGTTATAATCTACTATTAACTAGCCTTTTCTACACTATTATAATTCCATTTATTGTCGCACATCACCTTAATAAAGAAGGAATACATTCAAACAAAATATGGAGGTTATTTTCTTATAAAATATATTAAGATGGGAACACTATAAATGATTTACCACAGCAGATGTATGCGGTACGCACTTTCTGTTATGGTCAGGATATTGTGGATTCTATCCCACACTATGAACCAAAATAAAACAGTATTTAAAATAATAATAATAATAATAATAACAATGTTTGAATCAGAAATTAAACTGGATTAAGCTTAAAATGCCTGATCAGGATTGGTATTTTCTTTTCAGTAGGTAGATCAGAAATAGTATTGAGGAATTTAAACATGCCTTGTCTGCAATGGTTTGGATTAAGAAATTGTAGCCCTTCCTGAAATTACAAAAAGGAAAGAAAAGAAATAACAAATTCTTAAGCCAATCTTTCCCTTTGAATAGGATTTTGAATCTTAAAGTGGATACTTTCCTTTTTACCTACTTAGGGTTGCCTGTTCTTTTCTGTTTTTTTATAAGTAAAAATTCATTAAAGGCGCTCAAAAGGGAGCAATCCCAAAAGAAAACACAAGCCGCGAGCCGCGACGCTAAAACTTTAGGCTATCCAAAAAATCCAAAAGACTATTCGTAGATATACAATTCCGCCCATTTACCCAAAAAAAAATAAAGAATTCAGTATATTGTATTTGAGAGCCCAAATAGGAGACTCCTCCCCAACAAAGGATCTCCTATTTCTCTCACTCCATATCCCTTGTTGGCAGAATAGAGCTGGTAAAATCAGTTTGAATTCTTTCATTTACTACTGGTGTGCTTTACTCTTCCAGCTTCAGTGGCTGCTGCTTTGGAGAGGAAAATTAAAAGCTTTCTGTGGGGAAGCAAGGATAATGCCAGGAAGCTTCACCTTCCTGGATGGACTGCTGCTCCCTTCCTAAAGGTGAGGGTGGCTTTGGTCTTAGGAAGGTGAGAGAAATTGACAACACAGCTAAATGCCTTCTTCTTTGGGACTATATGCAAGGAAAAGATAGAATTTGGATAGGGTGGTGCAAATATGCTTCTAAATTAAGAAAAAATATATATATATATGCTTCTAAATGCTCTCTTTGGACTTCTATTCTGAAACCTTCTCATTCTCCTCTGTGGAAACCTTCGGGTTGTTCAACTCAAAAATTCCATCCTCAAATTTAAGCTAAGAAGCACAGACACTCCAAAATGGGCGAAGAATCCGTGTCCGACACGTGTCGGACACGGACACGCGTCGGACACGCCCCGACACGTGTCGGACACGCCAAAAAACGTGTCTGGAATTTTTTTATTTTTTTTAATTTTCGGACACGGCTTGGACACGGCTCGGACACGGTTTGGACACGGCTCGAACACGGCTTGGACACGGCTCAGACAGCTCGGACACACTTTTCTGGATTTTTTTTTTTTTTTTTTTTAATTTTTAATGCTGATATGTTAATTTTTTTTTTTTTTATTTTTATTTTTATTTTTAATGCTGATATGTTCTATTTTTTGTTTTGTACTACTCTAAAGATGGTGATATATATATATACTAACCTAAAGATGCCACAATTCGCCGTGTCCGTGTCCTAAAGATGCTGATATATATATATACTAACATATCAGTGATATATATATATATATTCCAACCTAAACATATCAGTGTTTTTTTTTTAAAATTATTAATGCTGATATATATATATACTATTCGCCGTGTCCGTGTCCTAATTTTTTTGGATTTGCCGTGTCGCTGTGTCCGTGTCGTGTCGTATCCGTGTCCCGTATCCGTGTCCGTGCTTCTTAGCTAGCAATTCAATTTAACCCTAAGGTATATATATGCAAACTCATCATCTAAAGTATTTTCATCCATTGCTATAAGGGTTGAACAATTACTATGCATCTTCTAAACCAACCATAATGCCATAAGTACAAGTACCAGTCATTTAAAGTTTACAAACAAATAAGAATTCAACACCTTCCATCCTCAAGTTATGCCTTATACATATTTTCATATCATATGCTGGTAAAATTAGCAAAGTAATATCTCTCCATAAGGTAGCATTGTAACAATCCACGAATGTCACGTTCAAGTTCCCAAATCTTCTTTATCTCACATAGTCCACAATTTCTAACTTTTGTTCCTCAAAAGGTCATTTCAATTTATCATGCCTACCATTCCTCAGTTACTACACAACCCACACATTCTCACTTCAGTTTGTGGTCAGCAACTCCTCGTAGGTTACCATTTGGCTAGTGAAATATGGTTACTTTTCTTCACTCCAATGAGTTCAATTAGTATACTTGAATGTCAATAATCTTTTCTCAGAATTAACATCTTCCAGAAATCTCTATAAAATTTCATTAGTAATTTACTTTGCCTTATAAAGATCTTGGTCACATAACGCTAGACCTTGTCGACCCAAATATTCTTAGTCTCCCAATAGCTAAGTTCATCGAACAACTTAACCAATAGGATCTGAAGTTTATAATATGGCATCCTTTTACCCTTGGTTAAACATGACTCCCAACAATAAATTCGGATAATTCAATCCACCATCTAAGAGTTGATAGGCCTAAATTCCAAATCAATAGTCACTTATATTAGACCATACTTAAATCCACAAGTCATTCTTTCCTAGGGAAACCAAATGTGAGCGTGTGTGTGGGAGAGAATACTTGCCCAAGCCTTGTGTACTTAAGTATTTTATATAGCTAACTATAATCAATGAAGTAAAGTTACTTTGGTTATCTTTTAAAAAGAATGAAAAAAGATTTTTTATTTTTAAAGCTACTTGTATAATCTGTCACATCATTCAAGTGACAGAATTCAACAACGGTACTTAAATCTTTTTTTTTTTTTTTGATAAGGAACACCGGTCCTCAAATCTTGACTATAGGAACTCAAGTCGATAGGTTGCAAAAAAAAAATATTGTTTTAAATTTGAAAAAATCCATCTGATTTCTAACTCATTGAAAAGTTCATAAATAGGTTTCTAAATCATTAGGAGCCCAGGGTTTAAGATAATAAGACACACATTCATTTATATATTTTTCCCACAAAAAAAAAAAATAAATAAATAAATAAAGGGTGAATTTCTTTTAATAACAATCAACAACTGCAATCATTATTGAAGAAGAAGTGGATCATGAGGAATAAATGCATTGACATGGAGAGGAGTGTGCCGATAACCCCCAGGTGGACCCTTGATTGAGTGTAAACGGCGTATGTCAGGGACAAGTTATTCAACGGAATAAAAAGTCTAGAGTGACTAGGCGTCCTAGTACTCTTACTTCCCATTAGTGCATTGTTGAGCTTAAAAGCTAGCTTTGGTGTTTCCTATCTAAAATCTGGTGTCCCTCTTTAATGCTTTGCCTGGTTCGCTCAATTTATAATTTACATTATTGATTCAGTTTGGTGAAATTAAATTAAATAATTCTAATTCTAAATCAAACTAGGCTAAATAATTAGAAATAATTCAAATTCAAATTCAAATTAGGCAAAAACAATAAAAAGTCTCTCTTTCTTTCTTTTTTTTCTTTTTTTTTTCCCCCTAAATAGTTGGGGTGATGTGTAAGTGTGGATGTGCAATTGCATGTTTTATGGGACAGTTAATGGAACTATGAGAAATGAAATAATAATTCTAATTAACAAAAATGATCACTAAAACCCTTAACTATGCAAGGCCCTCTTGTATCCAAGTGACAAGTTCTTCTTGTACCATGACATTCTTGTACCATGACATTGTTGATAAAATACTGAAAATATAAAACATAAAAATTTTGACATAGAAAAGAGGTAAACACCAAACAATTTTGCTAATGAAAACTCAAGTTTTACAAACACTTCAATCTAGCAGAAACTTTATATCATAACAAAATTCCTAGAAGACAATGTTCATGAACTATCGACATCTGACACAACAGAAGACCATTCTCAATCAAAATAAGTCAACATTTAAAATGAAAAACAATGAAGTTATGGCACCTTAACCCTCATTGCTGTAGCCCTCTACTTGTGAATTTCACAACTTCTTCAATCTACCAGATAATTTAATCATAACAAAATTTCTAGAAGACAACATTCATCAACTATTGATATCCCGGCACAACTGAGGATCATTCAATCAAAACAAACCAACGTTTAAAATGAAAAACAATGAAGTGGTGGCACCTTAATTCTCATTAATATAGCCCTCTTTGCGCCCTTCGAACCCAGGCCGCATTAGTTTCTTCTCTCTCTTCGCGATCTTCCGCATCTTCTTCTGCTGAATCCTCTCAGCTATATTGCCTGCCCTCTTCTGCTGCTTCTCCTCCTTCGTCTTCTCCCTACTATCAACCCTGTCCTTCCACTTCTGCGAATTCTTCTCGTGCCTCTTCTTCTCCTTATGAATACTCTGCTTCAACAACTTGGAATCGTCGTGCACCTTAATCCCCGCTGCCCTACTGGTCGCCGCACTCCAAGAAAGCTTCTTTGCCACCACTTCCCCTCTCTCCGGGTCCTTCTTAGCCTCCTCCAACCTTTTCGCCCTATCTAACTCCTGCGCCTTCGACAACTTTCTCTTCTTCTTCCTCCCACCATCTTCTTCCCCTCCAAGCTTCACCTTCCCAAACTCAATCCCCTTGGTCGCCTCCACCACTTCCTTCTCAAGTTCAACCTCGGATTTCACAAATTTACCATCCCTGCCATCTCCCAATTCATTAAGCCTCTTTCGTTTCTTCTCTTGATGATAATCTCTCTTCACTCTCTTCTCAATCTTTGATTTTTTGCCATCGCCACGATTGCCACGAAGCTCGTTGACGCGTTGGCGTAATTTTTCTAAAGTCCTGGACCGATTAGTTTCTGCTGCTTCATTGTCATCTTCATCGTCATCTTCGTCGTCATCCTCATCCCTATCGCTCTCTTCGATGCTTGATTTGTTAGTGCTTTTTCCGTTTTCTATGGTTTGTTTGAGCAAGTCTAGGGTTGAAGATTGGGGCTTTTCAGGGTCGAGGCGGTGGCGGCGGGCTTTCTTGATGTTGTCTTTGGTTTGTTGCTTGGCGGAGGCTTTGGCGGCTTTGGAGAGGCCTTGGAACCAAGGCTTGGAGTCTTCGTCGTTCGAGAGGTAGAACTTGGCCGGGATGAGTTCGATCAGCTTGTCGAAGAAGAGAGCGTGGTCGTGAATAAGGGACTTCGGGTCAGTGGTGGTGGTGGCTGCGTCGACGGCGGAGAAGGTGTTTTCCTGTGACGCGACCTTCTCTTTCTTCTTCTTCATTTTGGGGAGTGATTCTACGATGGTGTGGGGGTACGATGGTGTGTGCTAGGGTTTCGTCCTTGTAGTTTATTAGCTGTTTAGTTTATTAGCTTCTGTTTGGGTGAGAGCGCGAGTGTGAAATTTTCCTTTGTTTTTTTTTTTTTTTTTTTTTTTTTGGATATTTGATTGTTGCCTCTTTTTAATGAGACTACTTGCTTTGATAAAAATAAATAAATAATTAGTGCTAAGTACAATTCTAAAAATTTATTTAAATAAAGAACCAAAGGAGGAAAAGAAACAAAGGAAAAGTCAATTGTGTTAGGTTTTTAGGATAGGTAAGGAAAATAAAGAAAATTGAGGAAAAATGAATGGTAGATGGAAATAAGAAAAATTTATTTTCTCCTCCTTTTTTTTCGCATGACGTTTTACTATTTTATTATTTTTCAATAATACTCTAATAATAAATTAAATTAAAAGAGTGATTTTTTTTTTTTTTTAAATTATCAAACATATTTTCTGTGTTTTGTTTTCAAAAATTCAACAAAAAGCAACAAACCTTTATGATGAATTTAAATTTTCAACTAAATTTGGACGAATGAAGGGGGTGGAATGAAGATAGAAAGAAGCAAACAAATTAGAGGAGGCAAAGAAAGAAAAATATATATATATGATGAATGGGTCATTCTTACTCTTTCATAAATTTGCATTCTAAAAAAAAAAAAAGGGCAAGACTAAACTAAACGTTTTTAAATTAAAAAAAAATTCCTTACAATTAATACTCTTTCTGGTCTTCTCTCATAACAAACAAAATAAGATATCATCTCATTATTTTTTCCTCCATTCAATCAAACAAAAAGAAAAAAAATAATATAATTTCTTCTTCCTTAAAGATGTATCATCTCATTATCTTTTAATAGGTTGAGTGGATTGAAGGATCATTCAACTCAGTTTGAAGTATAAAATCTTCAAATTGATCCAATTCCCCGTCTGAGGTGACAAGCCTAACTCGAATCCACCCTAGTGGTTTTAGGCTGCTAATGTCGTAATAATTCCAGTACTACTAATAGTCTAATAATGATATTGAAACTTGGATTTTTATTATCTCACTTATTCCATACCTAATTATACCAAATTCACCTCAAATTGTGGTTAGATTTGAAAATTTTCACTTTAAATAATTAAACTCAAAGGTTTAAGCTTTCTACACTTTACACCTTACGATACTTCTACTAGGGTATCGTGGCCAAAATTGGACAGCGCTTCCTAAAAGTTAAATATTTTATTTTGTGATAGGACACAAATGGATTACGACATGAACATATTTTGAATACTTTCATAATACGACATATAATTACTATTATTTTTTGAAAGAATGAAATTCAATGCAATTTAAAATATATTATGGGTTAATGAAAAAAATAATACGAAGTATAAAATATAAAATAAAAATAACAAGCATCTAACTCTAAACTTCAAATTAGTAATTTTATTCAATATTATTTGGATAAAATGGCAAAAACATATTTATATATATAATAATATATATTATAATATTACTTTTTAACATATCTTGTATTATATTTATTTATTTTTTTTTTAAAATTTGTCGTATTCATATCATGTCCATTTGTATTCCATATTCGTATCCATGCTACCATACACCTATTCAAAAATGGGGTTAGAACTTCAGTTGGGTTCAGATTAATACACGTTCAATTTGCATCTACTTAGAAAGATAAATACGGGGTATGAACTTAAAACTTGGGCTTTAACTTTTTTCTTGGGCTTGGGCTCAACTCACAAGAAATTTAAACATGTGCATGGCTATTTTGATGATTGTGTTTCAATTATTTAGCAAAAGCTTCAAAGTTGTGTTCATAATAAGCTTACATAATTTTTTTTTTTAAATATTATAAGAGAGATGACTTGTAATAAAATAAAATAAAATTCATTTATCGAATCAATAAATATGATATTAAGATAGGAGAGTGACAGCGGTGTCATTTATTATCGAAATGGTTACATAGTTATATACAAAATGAGAACACCCCGTCGTATCTAGGGATGGCAATGGGGCGGGGTGGGGTGGGGATCTCATTCCCCATCCCCATCCTCGATCAAATATTTTACCCCAATCCCCGCCCCAATACCCGTTTAATTTTCAACCCCCTCCCCCATCCCCGCTTCGCCCCGCCACATTAGCCCCCATTCCCGCCTCACCCCGCCCGCGTAATATTTTTTAAATTCTAATTCACCTTTAACAAAATCAACACAACCATAATATTTTTCAATCTAATAATTTAATAAAGGTTCAGCACAATTATAACAATTTAAAGCATGATCAGATGTTTGATACACAACGACTATATTTTTTTCTCTATTCTGCGAGGGAATAGATCTAGGGTTTCACTTTCAGAAGTGAATATATTATATATATAGTTATGTAATTTACTAATATTTTATAACATGTAAGGGCAATTTTGTAAAAATGCACTATAAACGGGGCGGGACGGGGTGGGGTTACCATCCCCCCGCCCTCGCCCCATCCCCCGCCGAGGTTTCAAATACAATCCCCATTTCCTCCTCATTTACATAAATGGGTCCCCAAACCCGCCATAAACAGGGCGGGGTGGGGCGGGGACCCGCCGGGTATGGGGATTTTGCCATCCCTAGTCGTATCCTCACATCTTTTGACCAAATTTTAAATCAAATAAATTCATAAAGTAACTTGCCTATGACTGCAGAGTAATTTAATTAAAGTGATGTTGTATTCTTACACTTCTTTAAGAATAAACTAAAATTGATGTTGTCTCCAGAAATATTTACTATACATATATTATTATTATTATTTTATAATTAATAATTTATGATGTTAATACTTGATAAATTTAAATCACCTCCTTTTATTGACTCATTGAGACTTAAAAGTAGGTATCTAAATGGATCGAATTCAAACGGATCAGGCCTGATCCAATCCGATAAATCGATAATTTATTATGATTAAATTCATATCAAATTTTGTTATTAATCGGATATGCGATTCGATAACTCAATCCAGAAAAACGTAATTTTTTGTTTAAAAAAATTTAATATCAAGAGAGATTAGCAAACAATGATTAGGAAAAAAAGAGAGAAGCCATTAAATATAAACAAACTTATCAAAATAAATAAATAAATAAATATAAACAAAAAATAATAGAAGAGTATTTGACTTTTTATTAAAGAAAAATACAATAAAGAGTGACAAAATAAAGAGAGGGAAAAAGATGAACAAAAAAATGATTTAAATATTTTAATAATATTTAAATATTAGATATTATAGCATTATACTATATATTTATACTATATTATATATTATATTATATCGGATTAGAACGACCATAATCAATATCCGGTTTGTTTAGCTGACAAATTATTAAATTCGAATTATCATCAACTGATCATATTACATGTTTCAATACATATCTTATTTATTGGCTCGAATTCAGATCAAATTCGAATTCAAATCTGGTCCATTGAATCATGTACTTGAGAGTAAACAATAATAACCCTTTTCACACAAGAGCTTCTCTCGCATACATCGTCAAGTGTTCATATTCTAGGAAAGGGCTCGTCAAACCATGCCAAAATAGATCAAAAAGTGTATTCCTAGATATAATAATGTCTATACCAAGTGCAATTTGATGGTTAGCGCCAATTAAGAATTCAATTTGTTGTAGGAGCAAAGTGAGTATCCGTTTTATTTGTAAAATAAAATTGAAAAGAAAAAGTATAATAACTACACTATGAAATATTAGTTCACTTTATATCAAAGGGCCTCATACAAATGTATAGCCTCTCTTCTCAAAAGGAAGGGAGAAGTTCAATTCAACAAATGTGTGTAAGTAACTAGATGCACAACAGATTGTTGGAGATTTTAGAACCTGTTTGGACCGTTAAAAGGTCAAATGGGCAGGCTGACTTAGTTTTTTTTTGGATGATTTAGACGAATTCGTTTTTAACCGAGAAAGGGCCTAGTTTGACCAGAAAAGGCCTAACTCGCAAATCCTTTTGGCCGAATTCAATCTTTAGGGTTGAGGAATTACGTTTTCCCAATTTTGAATATTTTAGAATTTTCGTTAGAATACTAAACGGATTCGAATTGCTTTACTTTTTGGTATTTAGCAGTTTTTAGTACTTAGGTTTCTTTTCTTATTTTTACAGAATTTCCAAAGCAAGTTTATTTTTGAAAATTTTCCTTGCACTACAAGTTTCCTTACGTTTTTAGGATTTTTTTTATACTGTTAAGGTCTCTTATTTATAAGTACATGCACTGAAGAGCAGATTACTCATTTATTTATCAATATATTATTAGAATTCTCTGTTAATTCTCTTTTTCCCTTGTGGATTCAAGGTAACCCTCGTTCATTGTGAATATTTATCGCTTTCGCTTACGTCATAACCTGATTCAAAACAATATATAATATATAAATAATAATAATAACAATAATACATTTTTTTAAAGTGATTTGATAAGATGAAACATACCTATTATAAATTGTACGTGTTGGTAAGGCTGTAAATGAACCGGGCCGAGCCGAGCTTTGACTTACTCAGGCTCAGCTCAGACTCGGGGGAGCTCAGCTTAGCCAAGCTTGGGCTCGGCTCGCCAATATTTGAACAAGCTCAGGCTCAGTTTGGCTCAAGCTCACGTTGCAGAAATTAGCCTCTCAATCTTCTGCATCTCCGCAAATCCCTCAGCCATTCGATCGCATTACAGAGGATGGAATCAGTTTCTCAATCATCGGGTAAAACCCTTTTATTTTATCTAATTCTCCCGAAGCACTTTAGCCCAATAGTATTTTTCATCCTCTCATAACTCTATCAAAAGAAGAAGAAAAAAAATGGTTGCCAAGATAAAGAACACGGTTGAGAGAGGGAGATAGTAATAACCTTGTAGTAGTTGTTATTGGAGTAAGATTTTCGCTTCAGTCATTAATGAAGTACATGTAGCTGCCAACATGAAATTGAGATGGATGGATTGAAAGGTCTCCTACGGCTGTCGTCTCCAACAAGAGTTAAGAACTTAGGGTTTCTTTTATATTGTTATAGTTAATTGGTTATAACATGTGTAATCCAACGGTTGTGATAAATTGTACAGGTTAGTGGGTTTA